GGAGCTTGCCGAGGCTCCTTTAAATTCTAGCCTCTCTTCCACCTGCTAACTTGTCCATCTCCTGTCTTATGAAAAATTCATTGCTGATTATGTGATCCTATTATAGAAAATTTAGAAAATAGAGGAGAAAAGGCTATGGCAATAATCTTGCAATATTTTCTTCATCTTTTTTTCTCTGTATATTTTCATTTGCTCTGTGTATATGCGTGTGTGTGTGTATGTGTGTATGTGTGTGTGTTAGGACTATATGGGTTGTGAGTGACAGAAACCTAGTTCCAACAAGCTTGAGCAAAGAGGGGAATTAATTGTGAGGATTGGTGTCTCTGAGCCCAAGGACAGGGACTTGGCGAGGCCTGAGGATTGGTGGAAGTGGGCCGCACCCTCCCAGTCTTTCAGCTTTTTTCTTCTCCGGCTGCTTTCTCTGTTTCTGCCTTTGTCTTTCTCTCATCCAGTTGTTTTTCACGTGGAGGAAAACATATTCAAAGAAATCCCCCAAGTTTAATTTCTTACCACTTCATCTATCCAGAGAGTTCAACCCAATTCTTGTGTGATCACAAGACCTAGCGTGCAAAAGGGCAGTTCCTGGGGTAACTGTTTGATAGGTGGAGGGGGGCTCAGCAGGGATTTCTGTCTCTTGGCCCCCAGGCATGCTTGGGTCTTTTCTTTTCGTTTATTCAGTTACCCAACTGCCCCTACCAACATAATCCTGCCATCCCACATCAAGCTGCAAACCCATCCCCTTCCCAATGGGAGGCAGCCCTCGGTCTTGTTCAGCTGCAGCCTCGGTGGTCTTTGTAGGGCCACTGTCCTCCAGGCCAGATGCTCCGGGCAACGTGCACGCCTCTGCTTCAGGTGTGAGCAGGTCTAGGTGAAGCTTGTCCTCATCTATCCCCTGTGGCCTAAAATAATTTTAACTACACCAAACAGTTGGTGTGCGTAGCCTCTTGATTCCAGCTGGGGCAGCCACCACCCCTGAGGCTTGTTTTTCTAGCCCAGTGGTCGGTAAACTGCGGCTCGCAAGCCACATGCGGCTCTTTGGCCCCTTGAGTGTGGCCACGAAGTTTCAATCGCACTGTACGTGCGCGCCCGCACGTGGTATTTTGTGGAAGAGCCACACTCAAGGGGCCGCAGTTGGCCGACCACTGTTCTAGCCAATCTAACTAAAACTGATTTCCGAGTTCCAAAGGTGGGATTAGAAGCAGACCCTTCCTCCTCGGGTTTAAGGCTTTACCCGGAGAATAGGCTCCGCAGGAGCGATAAGGCTGGCTGTGGTTTCTCCCATCCAGGTGAGTGGGCCTTGGCTCTGGACGAAATAAAGGGGGAACTTCTCCCCCTCCAGGCCGGGCACAAAGGAGGTGAGATGAGCTGTAGGCCCTGGCAGCTGTGTCGCCCCCTCGAAAAGGAATGCAGGGGCTGGAGTGTTTGTCCTGCCACCTCAGACTGTCCCGGAGAGAGCCACTTGGCTTTCCCTTTTAAGGGATTAACTGGGCATCACCCTGGCTCTTACCAAGAATGACCAGGTATTTGAGGGTCAGACTCCCATGCACAGGGGAGTAATCCCCCGAGCTTTTAGAGTTCATGCTAAAAGCCAGCCATATTTTTAAAGTAACATTTGTGCCAAAATTCAAACTGTCTCAGTATAAGCAAGTTGGCCTGTTTTTAATTCAACAGCTACAGGAACCAGTTAATGTGCAGGACAGTATAGAGACAAAAGAAGAGACAAGCTCATTACAAGATGGCATTGCTGAATGGGCCCATATCGCAAAAGCATGTTCCTAGGAAACCTTCCAGCTATCACCTGCACATCACACACACACGCGCACACACACACACACACACACACACACACACGGCTGCTCCCATGGAATCTGTGTGGATGAGGGTACGTACAATTTCTAGCAAAGCTAGAAGACAGGCAGACAAAAAGAATCTGTCCAGTATAATTATAACCACAGTTACATTAACTTTCGGATTCAGCCCAGCCAGTGTGGCTCAGTGGTTGAGCATCAACCCATTTCCGGTCAGGGCTTGCAGGTTTGATACCCGGTAGGTATTCTCATTATTGATGATTTTCTCTCTTCCTCTCCCTTTATCTGAAATCAATAAAAATGTATTTTTAAAACATTTTTAGATTCTTTATTTTTCATGTGACAATGAATATAAGCATTTTTCTGTATTGTTGTAGCTTTTCCACATGCTGTTTTAATGATTACATAATGCTTCATTGTGCGTCATAATTTATTTCAGCCATTTAGATATTATTGGAAATTCAGACCTTTCTAGGTTGGTTTTTTTTTTTTTTGTATTTATAAAATGGGATATAATGAGTATCATTGTGCACAGAGCTTTTTCCATATCTGGAATTATTTCTTAAGGATATAGACATGGAATTACAGGACCAAAAATATGAGCACGTTTATACTTTCCAGAAAGGCTACACTAACCATTTTTATCACCACCAACAAGTGAATTTCACTACCTTTGGCTAGTTTCTTTAAAAAAATTTTTTTAAAATTCATTGAGCATAAAATGTGCATTTTTAATTTAAATTGTATTTTGAGTATAAGTGAGGAGTAATTTGGGTTATGTTTTTTATGCATTTTTGATAACATGTCTCTTTTGAAATCTTGGTGCTTTATTACTACATAAACTCATTATAGAATGGGAGCTGTTTTCCTTATTTTGCTTTAAACATTTCCCCCTAATTCTTTGCCCTTTAAAATTTAATAAGTGTGTATGGGTGTGTGTGGGTGTGTTGGCATTCTTCTTTATCAGTCTTGCAAGATGGCCAAGTTTTAGAAAGTGAAATATAACTAAGAGAAGGAAGTCAGTTAAAAAGCTGAGTGTACTTTCTACCTCAGGGATATTTCAAAATCCCTGTCCTTGTCATGTTAGGTCATAAGCCAGTCCCTCTGCAGGAAGGATTGTCTCTTAGAATAGGTGACCTGGGTCCTAGTCCTGACTCAGCTGTTGTCCAGACAGGGGCCCTTGATGGGAACCTAGGCCTCCATCCTCCGTTTCCTCATCTCTAAGCTGGTGGGTTTTAGAAACTTTCAAGGACAGCGGTCTCTGGTGGTACATGCCCCAGGTGAAGAATCATGTTGACCAGGAAGGTTCTTCTCCATCTCTTTGCAGATTTTTGGAAGTCCCAGCACAGTGACGCTTCCTGAAACCTTGCTGTTTGTGTCAACCCTGGATGGAAGTTTGCACGCTGTCAGCAAGAGGACAGGCTCGATCAAATGGACTTTAAAAGAAGGTAATTTGGATTTGGTCTTTGGGTGACATGTTCATGTGCTCTGCTGCTTCCAGGAAACATATTCCAGAAAAAGAGAAAAACAGTTATATGTTTTTTAATAAAATAAAAAGGGATAATGGAGTCAAGGAGAGGATAGGGCTCAAAGGTATGTTTACAGCTTAGATTGTGATTATCTGCTAAGTACATCAGTTGAAGAGGCACTGTGGGCTGTGTGTTTTTTGTTTTCTTTGCTTCTGTCCAGATTTCATGTTTAAAGAGCTCTAGGCTTTTCTATTAATAGTTCTGGCTTGGTCTTTACAAAACACATGCTGCATTAAATTTTTTTGTTAAGTTCTAATAATTAAAATCTTGTAATCATAATTACAAGAAGGTATCTTCTCTAACCGCAAATGACTCATTTGCTTTTATAGAGGCTGGGATAATTGAGGGCTGTAAGATTTGACATTCATCCAAGTTGGCCACTTGATTGGTTCTCTACATGGAGGGAAGTAAAAGACGGGACCTGTTTCTCCTTTCGTAATCTCCCACAGTTTATGGTCTTGTCTTCCTGGTGATAGTGGAGTCCTACAGCTGGGAAACTGTATTCGATTTCCCACGCAATCTTCCCAGGTAAAGCCATGCAAATCCCGGGATTTGGGGCTTTCCGTGTCATCTCTGTTATTCTGTCCAGTAATGATCCTCACTTGGCCCTAGATGAGGGCCTGACCAGCGTGTTCTCTTCCGTCACTAATCCGTGACTCATTATTGTCATGAGCACAGCAAGTGTTTTTCCTTCCTTAATAAAATGTCCCCAAATAGTATTTTAGATGGGAAAACAGGGGCCTGTGTCAGAGGCCACACGTCATCCTGTCAGTGCCGCAGCAAACCTAGTTACCATCCATAGAGGATGGCAGCTGAGGCACTACAGACTGCCCTGCCGCACCTGGCGGCGTCCTGCTTGGATCAGCAGGGGCTTTAAGCAACAGAAAGGACCAGCTCTTGGGAGTCGGTGGCCACAAGAAGATGGTAGAGCTGGGTTTTGGCATTGCATTACAGGATGTTATCTGTACCGTCTCTCATTCCTGTGTAAGTCTTTTACTGTTTAAAATAAAAATCAGAGTTGTTGAAATTTCACAATTTCAGATTTTGTCCAAAGATGGACATCAACAAGGTGCAGAAGGATTGCGATAAGCATTTTTACTCTTGTGTTAAGGCTGGTCCCTTAGGGCAGTATTCCTAGGCAGGACATTTTTGCCCCAAGGACACTTCATTCTTCTGTTTTGCTTTTTCCTGTATTGTTTTAAATTGATCTTCTCCAAGTCTTACTTTCTAGAAGTAGCCTCCGCTGTATCAGGCACAACGGTGTCCTGCCTTGTTTGTTACTTAGCCAAACATAAGAATCAATCTGTTCTCTCCTGTAGTTTAGAGCTTAAAGACTTAGCCCTTTTTTACTTAATTTAACATGTGTTTACAGAACCTGGTCTGTGAAAGATACTCTGTGGGCCCAAAGAAGAAAAAGACAGCACTGGCCCTCAGGGAGCCCACAGTCTGGCAGGGAGAACTTCCGCAAAGAGCGTCTTGTGACCGCTTCACAGAGGTCCTAGGACAGTGATGGTGAACCTTTTGAGCTCGGCGTGTCAGCATTTTGAAAAACCCTAACTTAACTCTGGTGCCGTGTCACATATAGAAATTTTTTTATATTTGCAACCATAGTAAAACAAAGACTTATATTTTTGATATTTATTTTATATATTTAAATGCCATTTAACAAAGAAAAATCAACCAAAAAAATGAGTTCAAGTGTCACCTCTGACACGCGTATTATAGGTTCGCCATCACTGTCCTAGGAGCTGCCGGAGGGAGGGGGCCAGGAAAGGCTTCACGAAGCTGGGATGTTGGAGCTGAACCTTGGTGGGTAGATTGGATTCAGTCTGGAGAAGCGAGGCCTGGGGAGAAGGAAAGGAGGTAGCACGTCTAGGCAGAGCAGGGAGGAGGTAAAAGGCACTTAAAGGAAGAATTAGAGAAATCTGATTAAGGTCTAATAATATCAATATTTAATATTCTCTAAGTCTCATTGTTTTTCTGCAAATAAACTGTCTTGTTTTAGTGAAATTTAGCCCTATCTACCAGTAGCCTCAATATATATTTCTTTACAAAAATTACAGGTGGTAATATGGAGACCCTGATCTTTCAGTTCAATTTTATTTATTTATTTTTTTAAATATTTTTATTGATTTCAGAGAGGAAGGGAACGGGAGAGATAGAAACATCAATGATGAGAGAATCATTGATCCGCTGCCTCCTGCACAACCCCACTCGGGATTGAGCCCACAACCCAGGCATGTGCCCTTGACCAGAATCGAACCCAGGACCCTTCAGTCTGAAGCTCTATCCATTGAGCCATACTGGCTAGGGCCAATTTTATCTTGCAGTTATAACCAGAGATTTCAACATTGATATTTGCAAACAATTAGCACATAAATAGATTATAAGTGTTGAGATACTGTTCTAGGCCCTGAGGATACAAGTGAAGGAAACAGACAAAATCCTTTTCTTCATAGAGCTTTTATTCTATGGGGAAACAGATAAGGAAATAAATGACACTTAAGAGCTCTGGAGAAAAATAAAACAGGGAAGTGGAGTAGGGGATGCCAGGCTGCTGGGGTCGGGGTGGAAGGGGCTGCAAGTTTAAACAGGGACAGCCCTACTGAGTAAGAGCTCAAGGAAGGAAGGGCCAAAGATCCTCGAGCTCAAGGAACCCAACCAGGCCAACACCTGGTCTTTGACTTCTAGTCTGAAGAACTGTGAGAAATAAATACCAGGCTACAGTATTTTGTTACCGCAGCCCCAGCTGACTAAAACACCCAGCCTGCACTGTACGGGATCAGCAGGTGCTGTGTTGAGACTGAACTGATGGGGCCAGGAGGAAGCAGGAGACCAGGTGGAGGCTACTGCCCCAGTCCAGGCAAGGAAGGCCGTGGGCTTGGGCCTGCACAGTAGTGGGCAAAGTCAAATGGAAAAACCTTGCCGATGCAAACAGACACCTTTAACTCATCCAACTGGGGTTCTGCAGAATATATACCTGTTACTCCATTTCATGGTTTCCTAACTGTTTACTTGTTTCAGAGGCCAACAAGCTGGGAGTGTTGTTTTTTTTCTTTCCACAGAGTGGTTTTGGCAGGTGCTTTTGTTCCTCACCCAAACACGTGTTGCTGTTCCCAGAAGTGGAGATTTCTTACACCACCGTGGCAGACTGCACCTAGTGCAGAAAAATACTTTTATTTGTTTTCCGACACTGAGTTGAGTTCTGACACTGTACATTAGCTGTGATCTCTCTAAGCTGTGATTTTTGTAATAGTAGTACCTGCTGTCTGTCTGTCTGTCTCTGAAATATCACCAGTGCAGATGGTTGAGGATGTTTTATTTCTGCACTTTCTGCCCAAATGCAAACAGAGAATATTGTCCTCATGCTTTCTGTTGGATTAGTTTTACGAAGCTCGCTTCGGCCTGCTGGGGTCCAAAGGACTTTCTCTGGTATTGCCAGCTCTGGTTTACGGCTTCTTGCACTCAATTTGAAATGCTAGTTAACCGATTTTTGACACTCAGATCTTCATCAAATTGCACTTAACTCTTTAGCAACCCTACTCCCATGCCCTCCATGGCACGGAGGACTGGATCTAATTTAGAACCACCCTTTACTAATTATAAAAATATGCTAACTGTGCAGCATGGCTGCTTTCCCAACCAGATGGGCCCGGACTCCTGAGATGTCCCTTGAATGGTTAATATTGGGGATTCTTATGAGGGAGGGATCAGAACTAAATTGGTTATTTGAAATTTGAAGAAAATCTTCCCACATGAGTTTCCCTTTCTTACCGTGCGCCTCTTGCTATGGTTTCTCCCGGTGCTGACAGCACGGCCCACCCAGTCTGGGAAATAGAGTGATGCTCTGCTACTCGGTCACCGAGTCCTGTCACGCAGGCTGAAGAAGTGTCTCCCAAATCTGACTCCCCCTCCCCATCCCCCTTGCTGGTGCCTTAGCCAGGCTCTCTATTCATTTCCCAGATGAATGCGGCAGCTTCCTGACGGTGGTCCCTGCACCTGTCTTATCTTCCCATTCACCCATCACACTGCTGTCAGACGTGCCCCCTGAAAAGACTAATTGACCACACCACACCCCTGCAGAAATACTGCTAGCAGTGCTGCTCCAGGTGTGGTCTGCCCTCCTGCGTTACCTGTCCACGAGGAAAGAAGTACAAAGGGAGATAAGCATCACCCATGGTGTGATCCTTCACTGATTAGTTTGGGGAGCACTGGCCCACAGAGTCAAGGCCGAGCTCCTCAGTATGCATGCAAGGCCCTTCCGAATCCGCTCTTGCCCACCTCTGCAGCCTCAACTCCCCTTTTCCCCCCAGAGGTGTGCCTTGTTGCAGCCACAGCTCCTCTCCAGGCCTCGGAGACATTGGGCCTTGGCTTCTGCACCCTCCCCTCCAGCAGCCTGCACTGCTGGGCAGGCTCCTTTCATCCCAGGCTACTTGCTTGTTTCCTCAAGCAGGGTGAGCCCTTTCCTCAAGTGGGTGTTGGAGGCACTTCCTGCTGGTGGTGCGAATCTTTGTTTACATTTGTCTTCCTGCCGAATTTCTAACTCCTTGAAGGTGGGGTCTCTAAACAGCCAGGGATGCTCAGGAAATGTCGGAGGACCTGAGGCCCACTGGAGTTCCAGAACCCTTCTGACTAGACGTCCTTCAGGAGCCCTGAAAAGCAGATGAGACTTGACTTTGCCTCCTCAGGATACTCACCTGCCACTCGTGCCATCGTCACATTAGTTTCCAGTTCCAGTTTTTGATCTGAGTTTCACACAGCTTTTGCGGCTTCTGCAGGAGGCTTTCTGTCCTTTAGGCTGTGTGCCTCTGGAAGTGCCCGACTTCTGCCTGCAGAGGTGTGATGGAAACGTGAGAAGGGAAGTTGTGGGAAGGGTTGACATTTTGTTAATAGCCCTAATCTCTTTTCTCCTAAGAACCTTTCTAGGCTTCAGATACGCATCACCACCTTTCTACTTTATCGGCTAAGCACAAGAAAAGTGTTTCTTTGTTCTCCATTGTTTTGGAGGACTGAAAATTAAGTTTCACAAGAAGGGACATGAGAGGGCCTGTTTCTGCTTTTGAGCATCTTGGAAATGTGTTTCCTGTATTTTACTCTTTGTCATGGAAGATTCTAAACATAAACAGACATAGAGATGATTATATAATGAACGCTCGTGTATCTGTCACTCAGCTTCAGCCGTCACCAGCTGGTGTCCTGTCTCATCTGTACCCGCTCACAGCCTCCCTCACGCTCAGGATTGGCTTCGGAGCAGCACATCTCCCATTGTAGAGACACCTCTTAGCCCGCAGCCACCACACGTAGCATAGATTTCAACTCCAGTGGGTAGTCTTTGCTGCATTACTTGGTATGTATCAGAGCACAGTTGTAAATGTTGAAGTGCATGAATAAAATTCCTTTTTTTATTTGCTGTGACTTAGTTATCCTTTTGCTCATCTTGGGATGCCGTGCGAGGTTTGCTGGCACTCCCATCACTCAAGAATGAATTCTGTGAATTAGGACATGCTGAGAGGCATTTGGTCGTAAGTCATAGTATTGAATTGCCTTATCCTCCCCCTTTAATTTCCTTCACAAGTGATTACCATTCAGTGTGCGTTTTTAGGTCTGACTGACTCCTGCCAAGGTGAAGGTGAATAAGTGCCTAGTAGAAGTCAGCTGCCTTCGCTATGGGCGCGTTTTCAGGTTACTTTGGTATCTCCCCACGTCACCTTCATCACACATGACATTGCATGACTTGCAGAGGTTACCTGTAAGAAAACCTGTTACATCCTTTCTCAGTTCCGATGAGATTTGGATTTTGAGGCGCTTTTGATTGGGTGTCTATTTTAAAATGTTCTCATGCGAGCTGAATTTTAAGAAATGTTTTAAGACTTTCTTCCCCACAGTTTGGATCTGACAACTGAATATGGGTGAAGAGTGTAGATTCCGGAAGTACTTTCCTCTGGAGGGAGCAATGAGCTGCCACTGGGGAGAAGTGTCCCTAATCGCCTCACCTGAGCACGAGAAACATATTTGAGAGACTTGAGTTTTGAGTTAAGGGAGGGTGAATGACCTTGTTTCTACCAATAACTTTTATAAGGAAACAGTGTTAGAACCTTAAGCATTTTTCTTGAGGAAATGGCATTTGTCTACTGCAGTCAGACTAGCCGATCTAGTTTGATCTAGTTTCACCGTTGGCTAGGATTAAATCGTGTGCCCTCTAACTCATTCCTTTCTTTCACTTCACTTTTCTGATCAGGACTAAGTTTTGTTGGCCTTTTCCCCTTCCTTTTTGTTTCTGACCATCCCTCCTTTTCCCCCACCCTGGCCATCTTACTGGGGTTATTAAGTCGCCTTCCTCATTACCCTTTCTGATTCCTTCTTTTTCTCATTTGCTTAGTGCCCTGGCTGACCTTTTTCAGAGGACTGTATCACATCTCTCTTTTTCTCAGACGCCTACAATCTGTTCCTAGCCCGTGCCCGCCACGCCACATCACAGAGTTCTCTCGGCTTTCTCCTCCACGGTCTCACTGCCTGCTGTCCGACCTGATTCGCATTCAGAAGGAACACTTCACAATTGCCAAGCCTGTGTCCTCATTCCCACTAAGCGCTGATAGTTCTTCACTCTTGTAGTCTTGTCCTCCCCACCCGCCAGGGCAGCCTGCTTCATGGCACCGTTCTCCCTGAGTGCACCAGCCCGCCCCGAGTTCTCCCACCTGGGTGATCTGTGATACCTATGGCGTATACCACGTGTTTCCGCCATTTATTTTATACTTGGTTTCGTGTGTACAAGCTTTCCAAGCTCTTTTTCCTGCCTGGCATGAAACAGGGAACCAAGCTGATGGTAGATGTCTGATGTGTTTATGAGATGTGTGTGCTAAATCTCAGCAGTAATTACTAATAGCTGGGATGGGAGGGAAAGACGAGGCTCTTGAATATTTGGCCTGGGGGAGGTTTATAGGGAGCACAAAGCAGATAGGAACTTCATTTGTGGTCTTCGGTGCTTCATAAGGGCTCAGAACATCTCAAATCCCCGCTAGAAGTGCACTTAGAAGGGGCTGGTTTGGAGACTTTCTAACTGGTCCTGACATCTTAGTTGTACCTGGAGAAGTCTTGCAGTCAGAGAAGCTGGTTTTAAGCACCGGGTGTGTAGGGGTCAGTAGGTGGTTGTGCTTTAGAGAGAAGAGTGAAGTGGACCGGTGCTCATCTAGATTCCGCCAGAGAAGAGGGTGTTCCGGAAATATCAGCTCATCTGGGGAAGAGGAGGCAATGATCTTGGAAGGTTCCTTAAGCTCCAGTCAAATGGGCAGCCTGTTCTTGTGGCTTCTATAATCAAAGGATATTATTCCTTCCTACCTGGGAGAAAGTCTGCCTGGAGCTACCTCCAGAGAGAGGCCGTCAGTCCCTATTGCTCCGGTTTGAAACAATTATTAAAATTTTGGTTGACTTCATCAGAGACATTTTTCTGTTTTGCCGACTTACCACCCCCATGTTTCCCCATCATTGATGTTTCTCTCTCTCTCTCTCTCTCTATCTCTCTCTCTCTCCCTCCCTCCCTCCCTCCCTCCCTTTCCCTTTCTCTCTGAAATCAATAAAAACATATTAAAAAAAACACACATGAGAAATACCCAAATGTCCACCAACAGGTAAAGCAAATTGTGAGTACTCCTTCCACCATAAAAAAAAGAACAAAGTATGAGGCACGCAGCAATAAGAATGAATTGCAAAAATGTGATGCAGACACAAAAAAGACCCTACTACATGAATTCCATTTGTGAACTTTTAGAACAAACACCCGAATCTCTCAGTGTTTAGATGGGGTGGGAGTCAGGGATATTGCATCTAAAGGGATGTGAGAAATGTTTGGGGGGATGGAAATGATCTATATCTTGATTGTGAGGGTGGTTACATGCATGTGTATGTTTTTCAAGACTCATCGAACTGTACATGTAAAGTGGATGCATTAGGAGAGAAAGGAGAGCACATGCAAAAGAGAGAATAAGCCCAGTTTGTGTGTCTGTAGTCAGGGGAGGCGGTAGCCAGCCAGGAGGACTGGACGATCCTTGGCGATAGGATACTGCTTGAAGGCCTAGATAGATGAGTGTGAAATGTCTGTGAATGTGAAGGTGAAACCTTTGTCCTTCTATGGAGATGCGAAGGGCAGGGTGGTAGAGTTGGACACACTTGAAGGGTGAAGGGTAGGGAGTTTCAGAGAGCCACAGGAGGCCCAGGTGTGTGGAGAGAAGGGGGGCTTGAGCCCAGGAGTAAAGGTTTGAGGCACCAGCTGTGAGGAACAGGCAGCAGAGGCCAACCCGGAAGTAGATAGACTTATCTCCTTTGTCATGGGGCCCCGCTGGCCACAGATGTATAATGGTATCTCCAAGAGTGTGGAGTTTTCTTCAGCAGTGCTCAGAGCCTGTGGGTGGCGGGGCGGGAGAGGGGTGGCGGGGGAGGGGGCTGCTTGGTAGCTTCTGGGTTGAAGGCTGAGAGAACATAGCTGCTGCATCATTAGAAGTGATCAACGGTGGATTCCCAGGCTGGGCAGGAATAGGAATTGGAAGGAAACTAATAAATATATTGAGCCCCTCCTGTGTGCAGGCACTGTGGTAGATTTTTGGGATATAGCAGATAATAAAAGATGAATCCTAGCCCTCACAAAGTTTATAGTAGTTGTCTAACTACTATAAACTATAAGATATACAACTATACTTCAGAGGTGGTGTCATGGAGAAGAACTAAACAGGGAAGAGGGCGGGGCATCCTGGGGGGTAGGAGGTAGTCATGGAAGACCTCTCTGAGATGGTGACATTTGATCAAAGACCTAGGCAGAGGAAGCAGCAAATGCAAAGGCCCTGAGGGAGGGGCACGCTTGGCGGTATTCGAGGAATACAGGGAGGCCAGCACTTCTTTTGGAAATAAAAATATTTAAATATTTACCCTTCCAAACTTGGACAAAGGGAAGATGTGAACATCTACTTTGAGTCATTTCTGTCTGAAGTTAAAAAGGAGGATTAGACTAGCACAAACAGGAGCGATGAGTGTGCCATAATCTCACCCAGGTTTCTCTAAGTATAAAGGTTGTGCCTTTTCCGGCCTGACGCGCCAGGGGGATCAAGTCGAGTCCAGTGGCTGCCCCCAGGGCAGCACCGAGCAGGTTCGTTTTTCTGTTTCTTCCTGTGTTAATCCAAGAGACAAATCACCACTTTCAGGTTTGTAGCCATTGTTTTTCCTCTTCTGATATTTTTACCTTTATCTGATACCCTTACCTTCCCCTGGAATAATACCCATTTTTACACTTGTGAGCTAACCTCCCCCCCCCCCTTTTTTTCCTTCTGAAAGTAAAACAGCTTTTATCCTTATCAGTCTCCATATAGATAGAGTGGCTTATTTGGTAACAGTATTTGTTTATACTCATATAGTTAGGCCAGGTTTCTTTTCTCATGGCTCTTTTTAAAAAAACAAAACAAAAAACAAGAATCTTGCCTGATACCAGTTCTCATTATTAAATAAAAACAACCACCTTTTCGTATTGGGCTTTCGTTGCATGTTTTCACATGGTGCTTTTTGCTTTTATTTTGCTGGCTTTCCCACTATTTTTATCTCTAACCTTTTACATTATGGAAAATTTCAAGCATATGTAGAGAGAAGGGCACATGACTGCCCTGTGTTGTCATTTTCATCTTTAAACAGTTATTGACAAGCTGCCATTTTTTTATCTGTCCCCCATACAATTTTTTTCTGTAGTATTTTAAAACAGATCTCAAATTCTTTTTTTTTTTTTTTTTAAGAAAAGAAAGCAGCCGTGTGCTTGCTTCTGTGAGAGCTTGTTAATAGTTGTGCCGATCTGTGGCCCTAAGCTCTGCAGGTGTTTATTCCAGGGACCAATTTTTCTGTGTGGATGGGAAAGCTAAGGTGGCCAGAAGGTTCCCCTACTGGAGTGCGTGCATCTCCTCCTAAGCCTAGAAAAACAGCCTGGTTCTCAAACAATGGCATCGTTGTCCCACCGATCCTTTCCTGGCTCCTGCCAGTGACGGCCTGTGTCGCTACTGGTGCCTTTGTGGTGCAGGACATGGGACCTGAGGCCTCAGTGTCAGGTGGCCAGTGGATACGCTCTGGGAAGCCAGGGAAAGCTTCCCCTGAAGACGAGTCCCTGAGAGTGAGCAGAGGCTGGACAACAAAGATAGGCTCATGAATCGGAATCACAAACCCCTTGGCCTCCAAGTCTTGTTTCTGGTGACTTGTTAGAATTCGGCATTGTCTTCCTGTGAAATGAACGAACGAGATGCCCTCTGGCCCTGCCGGTGTGGCTCAGTGTTTGCCTTTGGCTGCAGCATTCTGGCTTTTCCCGGCTGGCCTGGCTGCAGGGCTGTTGCAGTAACCGGGCTGTCAACTGCACCGCGAGTGGTTCAGTGCAAGAGTGCTGTGGGTCCTGATTTCCTGCCTCTTGCATCAGTCTGTTTGTGAGCCTGTACCGAGAGGTGATTAGTAGGAACAACAGACGTGTGCTTACTGACTGGAAGTTTCTCCAGTTTCCTATAATGTGTTTGGTTTAATGAATTGTTTGCTGCCCACAGACCACATGTGGTATGTGTGCCTCTGTTGTTGCGAACACCGTATGCCTTCATGTGGGAGCTGGGCTCGAAAGGCAAAGTCAACATTTGATAAGGCTTGACAGAGCTTTCTTTGACCATCCCAACCGACTGGGAGAAACAGACAGCTGCCTGTCACCATAGGCAGAGCCGGGGGAGCCTGGAACTCTGTGTCCACAATCACATCACAGTATTAGCCGTCCTCGCCCCCAGCTTTGAAGTTGTGGATGGCATGGCTGTACCTCCCGTGGGGTTTTTGATGCTAGAGATACCTCATCACTGTGCCATCTCATGCCTGTGGATTTTAGCTCTGTCGCAACACCACTGCGTCAGCGTCCTCTCACCCCACCACCATCCCGCCTAGGAATCCGAAGCGTCCTCTGGATTTGTGCCAGGAGAATCTAGGGAAGGAGAAATTCTGCCGTTTTGACAACTACAGATATAACATAACACTGACTTGGAGAGAAAACTTTTTTCCCAATTCAAAAAGTAATTTGTACAAATTTGAGGAAATAGAGAAAAGGTGGGGAACTCAGTTTATATTTTCAACAGAGATAACTCACAATTAGCATTCTTTGCCTCTGTATCTAGTTTTATCAATGTGCATGGGAGATGTTCTGAGCTGCGTTAATACTCTATATACAGTGTCATCTGCTCTCCTAAACAGAAGAGTGTAACGATTTGTACACGTTTTAAATTTTTATAAGCCCTTTATGGAGCCCTAATTTTCTTAGAGGTGGGCATTTCATAAATTAACCATGTTCTTGAATAGTTGAGTAATTTGTAATGCTACTGTGAGCATCTTTGTACAGAAAGCATTTTCTATATTCTGTGTTATTTTTATCCTACACTTTATAGAAGTGGGATTAACACATTAAGCGCCCAGTCAGTCACCGGTGACTGACACTATACTTTCCGTCCGGAAGACAAAACAGGCTGGGCGCTTACTGTGTTAATGGGTCAAAGAGAATCATGAGAATGAACACTTGAAGGCTCTGAGATTGCCATACTGCTGCTCCAAAAGGGGGTACCCATTTCCCATCCAGTCAGATTCTCATCAACAGCAAAACTGATGCTTAAGCCACAGTTTTGCTTTTCTCAATGGGAATATCTGGTTCTGCTCCAGGCATTTGGCAAGGTGATGATTTTGGTTTTAAAAGTCCTTGATGTGTCAGACAGTGACACTGACCCACTGTCCACTGAGGGCTGTGACGGTTCTCCCTTCGCTCTCCCTCCCCCAAGTTATCTGCACGTTTCTTGAGAGCAGTTACATTCTGCCGTCAGTTCTCTCTCCAATCTCAGTGGCAATCATAAGAGTTTACATTTTGTCTCTGTGTGTGCGTTTTCTAAAGTGCCTTTTTGCACGTTATCTCATGTAAATAAACCTAAGGTGTCGGTACAGCTTGTGAATTGGCCCTGGGAACTCTCCAGGAGTCTTGACATCTCAGAGTCTGTCTGATGGTGCCTTTGTTGTTCTTTCACACAGATCCAGTTCTGCAGGTTCCAACGCACGTTGAAGAGTAAGTTTTCCGATTTGCTTCAGTACTTTCCTGTAATGCATTTTCTGTATTATTCAATATTTATGAAGCCAATTGCTGGGAGTACATATGCACAAGTTTAAGGTATAAGAAAATGATAGAGACATAGAAAGTCTTACAGGTGCCATGACAGAAGCCTGTGTTGGGGAGAGGGTAGTCAGTTCCTTTGGGAGTGAGTGGCATTATGGGGGAGGAGGGCAATGTTGTTTAAAAAGGCTTATTTGAGATGGAACTTAAGTTGAGGTTTGCACTTAAGCTTCCAAAGTCCTCAGGAAGGCCTCAGGGTTTAGATCTCTCCCTCTCACTGTGTTAACCATGGAGGGGAAACATGAGGGTGACCTGCTGCTAGAGGTGTGTGTTAGAATAAAGGCGGGATGGCACCTGTAAGAGCCTCAGTGACCCTCCGGGGTTTCTGTGTGAGCAGGATAGTCCTTCAGCAGGTTCACCTGACCACAGACCACCTCGCAGCTGCTTCATGGGAAGCTGCCGGCCGAGAGACCTTTATCCATGTCCTTGGCAGGTTCTCTCTGATGTCAAGCTTTCAAAGTCTGCTTTTATTGCCTCTGGTTTAAAAATAAATGTTTGTTGAACACTAAAGGCAGATTTGTTCTACCTGTTTACGTACCATGCCGCACTATTAAGTACTAATTGTTGAAGTTATTGACTTGAAAGCTGAAAAGCAGGCTCGCTGGGTCCTTTTCACTTATTTTACCTTCATCCAGAGGCTTTGACCCAATGATGATGTACTCTCCCGTGATGATTTATAATTTTCCCTTTGCAGGTGGCTTTTTTTCCTACTCAAGTACAGTACACACCGCCATAGTGATATTTTGTTTGTGGCTAAAGTGGACAAGCAGCGGGTAGAATTAGCTTTCATACACACACACACACACACACACACACACACACACACACACACCACTTTCCCCCTCCCCCAGTCATGGCTTTCACGGCTTTGGTAGTTTGTTTTGTGCCCTGAGCTGTAATCTGTCATTGATACTATTGCTTCATTTCTAGGCCTGCCTTCCTCCCGGATCCCAACGATGGCAGTCTGTATACACTTGGGGGCAAGCACAGTGAAGGCCTAACGGTGAGTGTATTTAGCGTCTTTGTACTCCAGAGGTTCTGGACCAGCGATCTTCCACTTTTGCTCATTGAGATCACCTGAGAGCTTAAAGACATTTGGAGGATTCTGATTCAGGTGGTCTGGAGCGGGGCCTGGGCATCGATATGTTTTTACAGCTTTTAAATGGCAGCCAGAGTTCAGAAACGTTAATCTAGACAAGCAGGTTCTGATGGCCCAGCCAACACCCTGGAAAGGTATAACACTCCCTTCAGTAATAGGGTTCACTCCAGCTAGTGATTCTCAAATTGGTGTGGAGAGCAGGGTAGTTTGAAACACTGCCCATCCCCCTGCAGACGTCCGCATGGGGGGGGGGGGCACATGGTATCCCCATCTCCATTTGAGAATCTAGATGGCGTGCTCCACCTTAACTACACATTGTAAAAACCTAGAGAACCCTAAAGAAATGCTGAATCTAGATCCCAGTTTCAAGTGTCCATTTAATCAGTGTAGGCATCAGGATAAGAGAACTTAGAAACAGGCCCACACATATGAGCACCTGATTTATGACAAAGACAACACTACAGTGCAGTGGGGAAGGTTCATCTTTTCAATAAATGCTTTGGGTCAATTGGGATATCCACGTGGAAAAAGAAAATCTCAACTCCCACCTCACACCAGACACACAAAACTCTGTTCCAGATAGATTGCATGTGTAAATGGGAAATGTGAAATAAGCTTTAAGACAAAAAGTAGCAGAACATCTTCATGGCCTTAGAGTAGGTGAAGGTTTCATAAATAGGATACAAACAAAACAAAACAAAAATATCTCACACTAACAAAAGGGAAAATCGATATATTGAATTATCGAAATAAATTCAGAATTTTCTTCTTTAAGAGACACTATTAAGAGAGGCAGGCCGCAGTGTAGTCACAATACCCATATCCAACCAAGTCCTTGTATTCAAAATATATACGGTGGGGCAAAAGTAGGTTTACAGTTGTTTGTATGGAAAACAATACAGTAATTAAAGAAGAAACTGTTTTGTATACTCACAACTGTAAACCTACTTTTGCCCCACCGTGTATAAAGAACTATGTAAATAAAAATCACAGCCGGTATGGCTCAGTGGTTGAGTCAGCCTATGAACCAGGAGGTCACAGTTCGATTCCCGGTCAGGGCACATGCCCAGGTTGTGGGTTGGATCCCCAGGGTTGGGGCGTGCAAGAGGCAGCCAATCAATGATTCGCTCTCATCATTGATGTTTCTATCTCTTTCTCCCTCCCTTTCTCTCTGAAATCAATAAAAATGTATATATATATTTTAAAAAATCAGTGTCATACTACCACCCATTCATTAGAATGGCTAAAACGAGAAAAAAATGGGAAAAAATGGGGGGTGGGGAATCAAAGCAACTGAACTCCCGTATGCTGCTGGTGGAAGTACAGGTCAGAACAACCAGTTTGGAAAACTGTGTAGCAGTATCTGTGACCAGTGATCCCCTCCTGGGTTATATGTCAACAGAAATGCATGTTTGTGTTCTCCAAAAGACAGGTACCCGAATATACTGTGGCACTAGGTATACTAACCAAAAAGTGAAAACTACCCAAATAGCACCAACAGTCGACGGGATAAATAAATTATGGCCTTGTATGCAGTTTCATAGTCTACACCAATGAGAATAGTCTGTGACAGATGAATCTCGCCAACATAAGGTGGGAGAAGATGGCAAACAAGAAAGTCTCCACGGTGAATGATGCATTTCTCTGAAGCTCAAAGACGGGAAAAACGAGTCTGTGGTGTTCTGAAGTTAGGATAGTGATTACCTGGGGAGTCATGGTTGGAAAAGGGCCAGAAGGGGCTCTCGGAGTGCTGTGAAGGTTCTGTGCCCCTCCTGCGTGCTGGTTACATGGGCATGTTCACGTTGCAAATGTAACTGAGCTGTACGCGTCCCCGAGCTTTCTGAGCTTTCTGATTGTAAGTTCTGCTTCAATGGAAAGTTTAAAAAGCCTCTAATGTGCAGCCAAGATTGAGAACCGCTGGTCTAGACTGTAGGTGGCTTGTGAGCCTTAATTTGGGAAGTTTAAAATTATTTGATGACTTCTGAAACAGGTGGGAGAAGGGCAGGCCTTGTGTAGATAGAGGTCTGTGTGTTTCACCTTCAACATTTCTCTCCACATCACTAGAGCCTCCATTACTGAAGCGCTTCGCTGGCCAGAAACTGGGTCCAGTGACTTGTATATGTTGTCTCATCTGAACCTCTAAGCAACCCTCTGGGATGTCAGTGTTGTCCCCATATTAGAGGAGTGGAAACTATGCCTGGAGGCAAGGGGGGGTGAAGGAACACGCCAAGTCCAAAGCTTCACATTGGACTTGAGATTGAAGAGCTCTCCAACTTCCAGAGGATGCTCTGACCTCCGCCCCACATGATGCCTTTCTGTGTTGTGGGTTAGCAGCTCCAGGAGCAACATGTTGCCGGCTCAGGCCCTGATCGGGAGGCTCGGCAGAGAACACGGGACTCAGAAGCCTTGCAGTGACTTTCTGATTCTCAGAAACATCTGGCAGAAGCCCAGTCATTACAGCTGCTCTGTGGCATTTTTCCTTTTCTAAGGCTTAGCTTAAACCTTGGGATGATGGGAAAGTCCAAATGATTACTTATTTAAAGTTCTGTTTATTGAAGCAAGAGAGAAATCTTTCGTGGAGAAAAAGGTGGCAGCATAGTAGAGGCAGTTATCTGTAGAACAGTTTCAGAAACACAGCATGTTCCAAAAATAAAGCACACTGAAACAAGCCTTCACCAAAAGGACTCGTCAGATGTCAGCTGGAGGCTCAGAAGAATCGGTTTTATGATGAAATGCAGCTGAAACAATGTGGATTCCTCTGAGTTTCTTTTCCTGGCACTTACCGGGACTTCCTTTAACACCAAAAGGTCCGATTTGTCTTCTGTTTTTCAGTAGAGACTTATTTACTGAAGAAAACATCAACACTTCTCTTGCACTTCAGGCTCCTATGTTGCCCACATAATGATGACTTCTTTTTCTCGGAGCTCCCGCTGGGCACGGAGATGGCTGCTCCTCAGAATGAATCTCATGGCTCTCTCTCACTCTGAGAAGCATTGACGTTCTCCTCAGTCTTAGCTGGCTCTGGGCCAATTTTCCAAGACGGGCGAATTCTTCCTGCCCCCTTAGAATTTCAGAGATTGTGTAACTCTCCATAATTGTGTAAGTCTTTTCAGAAAAAGGACTGTGTCGCCCCCAGGAGTGCTCTGGAAAAGAGACTTTTGGGGGCCCATGGAGTAAAGGAGTTAGTGTTTATAGTGCCAGGGACCTGGGAGCCAAGGGCTTGTCCAAAATGGATCTGGAAGCCCAGGGCACCCCTCTCCTGGGCCTCCAATTAGGAAAACGCCCATCTGCCATCAACAGTGCTTCTCTCTTTTTAGCAGAATTGGGTAACAGAAGCAGAGTATACTGTGAAAATTGTAATAATTGTGTAAGACTTGGTTAACTTATTTTTCCCTTTGCCTTTTTTTTTTCTTTTAAGAAACTTCCTTTTACCATCCCGGAGCTGGTCCAGGCATCGCCATGCCGAAGTTCAGATGGGATTCTCTACATGGGTAAGAGTTCCTGTGTTCCCGCTGAAACTCTGAGCTCTTTGGAAATGAGCCCAGGAGCTGGGCGAGTGGCGTCTCAGAGAGAGGTGTGCGGTCCCCTCACCAGCCCTTCTGGGAAAGGTCTTTCTTGCCTGGGTTGGGCTTGTTCGCGCCTGGATCAGCTGAACAATTAAGAAAGGGCTCCCCCCACTTGGGAACAGACTCGACACCATTAATATGGTTACTCATTTAACAAGCTTTTAGCTGCGGTGTTGACCTACCCCTGCGATTTAAAGATTGCAACATATCCAGAAGCATTGGACGAAATTTTAAGTGAATACAATGGTGTGAGCCAAGAAAGGGAAGCCAGGCTCCTGCCTGTCCATTATAGGGCTGTCTGAGTATTTCCTGCATCAGAGTATTGGGTGAAAACTGCACTTAACACCCACAGGGGCCACATCTTCCAAAGCATCGGATCACCTGCTTTCCCTTTACCACGTCGCTGCCAGAATGTCAATAAAAATGCATTTGTCACACAAAGGAGAGCTGTATTTATCTTGAAATCATAGTCGTAATAATATCCTGTATTTATGCACCAGTTTCTGGAGGAACTGAAAGTGCTCAGTGCCTATTCATGCCTGGGGGTAGGGGAGCCTGTATGTGTATTTCTGAGCCTCTAGTGCAGGCCAAATAGTAAGTTTTTGCTAGGGACTCGGGCTCTGGCTTCCTTCCACACCTTCAGAGTGAGGACCTCCCCCCACCCCCAGCCGAGGGAATTGGAGGAAGTGAACAGCCCAGGCTTTCTCTCCTCTGCGCCACGCCCCAGGCCCCTCTGAGCGCCTTCTGACCATCGGTATCGCTGGTTTCTATTTGGCCTTCCAGCGATTCGTCACTTAGGCTGCATTTAGGATATTGTGGTTCCATCACCTTTGTGTGGTGCCTCTTAAGTGAGTTCATGACACACATTTAAAAGTGTGGCAGTTGTCCAGTCCATCCATGTAAGTGGTGCTGGGTTATGGAGACTGCAGTGGTCCTCTAAGTAACCAGAGAGGTGCTGTGCCAGCTGGGAAGGGACCGTGGTCACAGCTGTTTGGTGATGTTTTCACTCTGTCTTCGGATCTTTTTCATATTAAGATTTGTTGCTGAGAACAGAAAGTTAGGACCCGTGGACACGTGTCACACATGTGGACTTGGTGTGTGTGCCACATCTGTTAGAGCTAAGCGCAGCCTTAGCAAATTCAAATACCCGGGGCTCTCCCTGGCATCTCGGCACTGCTTCTGAAAGTCCCTTGAAATAGGAAACTTGGCCAGTAAGTTAGGAAGGGGCCACACCTTACAAAACAGAGATGCACACACATCATAGTGAATGTGTTGACCTTCAGATGGGAGGCCCATGCTACGGACTCACCACTCCCATGATGCTCTGGTGTGTGTACTGTAGATGCACATCTCTGAGTTTTCCTAAGTGTTGTTTGGCTATGCCGTCCACCTGATCGGACCTTTTAATCAGCTGACTGAGGTGAGAGGTGTAGCCCGTGGCTGGGAATAACTTCCTGGCTAGAACAGGGGCTGAGATAACTTGGATCTCATTAGCACCAGGTTGCAACCAGCCCCACTGCCCAGTGACAGGTATCAGCTCATTAGAGTCAGAAAGTCACTCTAGATCCTCTTCCACGTGAGCTCATCAGTAGGGAGGTTGTGATATAGGGATGATGGTTAGCAGCGCGCTGAACCCCTGGGTGCACTTGTAGATTTATATAGATCCCAGTGTGGAAAGGATTGCCCTTTCCAGGCCAGACTTGTAGTATTTAAGGCCACTAATCAAAGCAGGACAGTACGAGTTACTAGGTTTGGAGAAATTTTTGCACATGATTAGGTTATTCAGTTCTTATGAGACCCTGTGGCCCAAGCGTTTTATTATCTCCACGTTACCATTACCGCCTCTGAGCAGGGTGACAAGACAAGGGCCTGTCTCTCGGACAGAGGACGTCGTGGGCTGCTGGTTCGGCAGTGGTGTTTGTCCATATAGGACGAGTGTAACCAGTGTGTCCTTGTGACGTTTCAGGTAAAAAGCAGGACATTTGGTATGTCATTGACCTTCTGACCGGGGAGAAACAGCAGACTTTGTCATCGGCCTTTGCAGATAGCCTCTGCCCTTCGACCTCTCTTCTGTACCTTGGGCGCACAGGTAAGAAGGAGCCTTTTGTCGTGTGCAAACCTGCCTGTTTCTAGAGAGGACCTGAAGTAGCCTCCCCACGGGTCTCTGCCTCCGGGCTTCCTTATTGAGAAGGCGGCCGGAGCCGTCTCCTCCAGCACAGACTTTACCGCATGGTTCCCCTTTCTAGACCCGCCGTGGCTCCTCAGTGCCTGAGGGTTACAGTCCGATCCGTACGCAGCCCACAAAGCCTGCAGCTGCTGCCTCTTTCCCCTTCTCCCTCGCTACGTTTCCCTCATTTCAACATTTTCCAGTGAAGATGAACTACCCACAGCTCCCAGAATAAGCCGTGCTATTTTAAAACACTTGGAATTGTGGGTCCCTCTCTACCAGGTATGCACGTTTTTGCCTGTCTGGCCAACATCCTGTCTCCTTTCACATTGCTGCTCAAAAGGCACCCTCTCTGTGAGGCCTCATCCTCACCTCAGCTCCCCGTCCCTGCCCAGGACAGCAGCTCTTCCATCCTCGGGGCACGCACACTATGTGGGCCCGTGGGCCCGTTACAACCAACAAGTCACTGCCCATCACTGGCCCTTTAACCCTTTTCGGTCCAACCTTGAGGCTGACTCGACAGACCAGGCACTAGGAGCAGGTCCAACGTCGAGCAATAAGAACATTAAAAAGTTCAACATTCAATCCCGTCAATTAATTTCGACCAGGCTGTTTGAATTCCAAAAATAACATTGGACCGCAAAGGGTTAAGGCATCAGCAGCACCCTCCTCACCTCTTTCTTCAGCCTTGTCTTCTTTTTACTACTTGTCACTACATGTTTCTAAATCATATTTGCCTACTTTTCTGCCTCCTGCATTACACCATCAGCTTCCCAAGGACAGGACTTGGCTTCGCTCACCTGCCGTATCTCCACACTGGGCACCTGTCCGACATGTAGCAGGTGCTCAGACGGAGCGAGTCAGTGGGTGGGTGCTGAGCCCTTTCACTGCAGGGATCTGCCTTATTCATCGTATGTGTGCGGCACCCGACATCTTCCAACACTCCATACACTTAGAAGGAAAAAATTGTACTCAAAACTTAGAAATCATTACAGCTCTGGCTGGGTGGCTCAGTTGGAGCGTCATCCATACACCAAAAGGTTATGGGGTCGATCCCCAGTCAGGGCGCAAATGGGAGGCAACCAATCGATGTTTTTCTCTCACATTGATGTTGCGCGCGCTCTCACTCTCTCTCTTGCTCTCTCTCTCTCTCTCTTTTCCTCTCCCCACCCCCTTTCCCTCTCTTTGTCTCTGCCCCTCTCTCCCTTCTTCTCTATAAAATCAATGAACATATCCTCAGATGAGGATTAAAAAAAAAAGAAATTACAGTTGAGCGCTAAGTTTGTCTAAACATTCAGGTAGCCAAGGCTTTAAAAAAGAGATGGAACCTTCCTCCAGGTGCTGTGGAAACAGTGCTTTTCTAAGAGTGAGTGAGGCCAATCCGGGGCCCTGTACGTGAGCAGGAAGGTCTCTATTGTTTGTTTATTGCTGCTTAACAAACCACCCTAACTTAGTGGCTTCAAACACCAACACTTAAATTGCTCAGGATTCCGTGCGTCAGAAATTCAGGGAGGGCTCAACAGGGATCAGTGGTCTCCACATGCTGTTGGCTGGGTTCACTCAGGTGCCTGGGGACTTGGCTCAGCTCCACACAGAGAGCCTGGACTTCCTTCCACGATGGCTGGATCCTCTCCTTGAGTAAAAGTGGGCGTTACAGTGCCTCAGGCCTGGGCTCAGAAGTCCCGGAACCTCCCTTCCACCACAATCTGCTGGTCAAAGCAAGTCAGGAAGCCAGCCCAGAACCAGGGGCTGGGGAAATAGATTTAGCATGTGTCAAATTACAGTCCATTCTGTAAGATTAAACCACACCCACACATCTCTCTACTTTGTGCTATGGACCACACTCCCACGGTTCTTAGGACCCTCTGATCTAGCAGAAGGTCTGTGAAATGCTACCTTAATAGCAGGAGGTCTGTGAAATACCACCTTAAATCTCTCTGAGGTCTCAAAGAAGGGTCTTAATGCCTCACTTTATTTTTTTTATTGATTTTTAGAGAGAGAAACACTGATTTGTTGTTCCACATATTCATGCATTCATTGGTTGCTTCTTGTACTGTATGTGCCCTGACCAGGGATTGAACCTGCAACCTACTGAGACAACGTTTTAACCAACTGAGCTACTTGACAAGGGCTAACTGATTTGATCTGGACCCCGAGGCCATTTTTTGCTGGTAGCACCCTGGACTTCATCTTTGCCCTAAAGCCATTTTTTTTACATTGAGAATCTTTTTCAGCTGGAATGTCAGTCCTGAACCCTCTATATTTCCTCTCTATTCAGTTCAAAAACCAAATTGTTTCTTCTTTAATTTATCTGTCTTGCAATGTATCACATGCAGTTGAGAGAAGCCATTCGGCACTTTCTGCATTCTGCGTGGAAATCTCTAGCCAGATCCACAAGTTCATTGGGTAATTGTGTCACCACCCCATAACCTGGGTTACCCCTTTTCGGCTTCCAGTAGCAGTTTTCTTCCTGCTCTTTCAGTCTCCACATCGACCTTTCGGCCTCCATTGGCACCTGGTCCCAGTCAATGCCACATGTTTTGGGTTTGGGTTATAACACCTTCCCACTTTATTAGGTACCAGTTCTAACATCATCTGTCTATTGCTATATAATAAACCACCCCAGAACTTCAGTGGCTTAGAACAACACTGTGATCTAAGTGTTGGTCATGATCCTGTGAGTCCTGCGTTCAAGGGCACCACGGGGGTGGCTCGTCTCTGCTCCACGTGCTGTTGACTGGGTTCACTCATGGGTCTGAGACTTCATTTCTCCACATGGCCTTTTCTCTTTCCACATGGATGGCCTGGCCTTTTCTGCGGGCAGTTTAGGGAGGACTTGTCTGTTGAAATTTAGATAAGGTCAGCACCTCGGTGGGTGCGTGGCCCCTCTGGTAACGGGCTGGTGTGTGTCCTCAGAATACACCATCACCATGTACGACACCAAAACCCGAGAGCTCCGGTGGAACGCCACCTACTTCGACTACGCAGCCTCGCTGCCCGAGGACGACGTGGACTACAGTAAGTCCTCCGGGTGGCTGTGCCAGGCTGGGTGGTCCTTGTGATCCAGGAGAAAAGCTCGATCTTCTTTGAGACAGTCTTGGTCAGCAGGTTCTCGACTCCCCATGGAATTAGAGTAAATACTTCAACAGGCAGCGCTGAAGGCAGGTCCTGGTGAGAAGTGAGGAGGAAAAGCCAAGTAAAACGGTGCAAGGTAGCCTGAGAGGAGGGAAGGTGCACTCTGTCCTGTCCCTCTTGTCTCAGAAGGAACTTGCTAGAAGCCCAATGGGAAGCAGGAAAAAGCATCACCTGTGACAGTAACAACTCACTGCCTACATGTGGCTCACCCTCCAGTTATTTCTCTAGTAAACATTCCCCCAACTCAAATGAAAACGAAAAACCACTTCTGCCAACTTAATACCAGGGTCAGGAAGTCTGATAGAAACCAGTTCTGTGGTCAGATGTGTTCAGCCCTGACTTTGAGCCTGATCAGTAGGTTTGAAACGATTGCTATCAAATGCATCCCCGTTGGCTCCTTTCTGCTCAGTATTTGCTCTCACTAAGCGAATGGAACGCTGACGAATGTCACTAAGTACGTCGCCTTCCAGAGGGTGATCCTGTCTTAGGCTTACAAACCAGGCAGCTCCTAGTGTGTTGCTGTGGTAGGGCCTGAGCGAGCTCATTGGAAACGAGTGAAACTGTTCGGGGGAGATCAGAGAATACTCCAGAAACCTTGTTTCCTCTAGCTGAGTGGCCACAACCTGCCGGGACCTGAGGATGTGGTTGCAAAACAGGGCGAGACTCGACGTGGCTTTGTTTGTCTGATCTGTGCAGAGATGTCCCATTTTGTGTCCAATGGCGATGGGCTGGTGGTGACTGTGGACAGTGAGTCTGGCGACGTCCTGTGGATCCAGAACTATGCCTCCCCTGTGGTGGCCTTTTACGTCTGGCAGCGGGAGGGGCTGCGGAAGGTGATGCACATCAACGTCGCTGTGGAGACCCTGCGCTACCTGACCTTCATGTCCGGGGAGGTGGGGCGCATCACCAAGTGGAAGTACCCCTTCCCCAAGGAGACGGAGGCCAAGAGCAAGCTGACGTGAGTCGGGGGGCTCAGGCAGAAAGGGCCTCTGTGACCCTGACACTCTGGGCCGGCCGCAGCGTGCCACACCGCACACGGGGCCAGGGCTCGGGCAGCTGACTCTGAAGCCGTGAGGAAAACAGAGAGCCAAGACTGGCTCATTCAGAAACCCCAGAATATAAGAACCCGGGGGCGTCCCCTGGCGCTTCAGAATTCTTACGTATTAAATGAATTAAAATGATGGGTGGGGATAGGAAAGAGACAGTTAGTATTCATAGTACAATTTGGATATATCTCAGGTAGTGGGACTACAAGAGATGTACTCATTTTCCCATTTCATGTATTTTTTAAGTTTTTACTGTAAGTTATATCCACTTAAAAATCAGGCCTACACTGTTAGGGTGCATGTGTCTAAGATTCAGCAGGCTTGTGCTCTCCATCCTCACCTCGGCCTCAGTTTCCCACTTGAGAGAGCTTTTGGAGAAGAGCAAATGAGATAATGTGCAGGAATGTTTTCTCTAAACTATACACCACCATCTCAGGGGCTTTGCCGTGGCCGCAAGCATCAGTCTCTCCCGGGCGATCCCTGCACGCAGTCCTTTCTGCAGGCGCCGTGGGGATGGTTGAGCACAGCCCTGCCCGTGGCAGATGAGGGAGGACACCAGGCAGTGAGTGGCAGCCGGGGCCTGCAGTCCAGTTCTCCTGCTGCCAGGGCAGGAGTCTCGCCTCCACACCCCAGAGTGCTTAGGAGTTCATCTGGCTATTCTTCTGGGTGGTATTTGGGGCTGGGGCTGAGATTCTTCTCTCCAGAAAACCCAGAATTTAAAGGACTGTGGAATGCATATGTCCGTTTTTCTCCTAGGCCCACCCTGTACGTTGGGAAATACTCTACTAGCCTCTACGCCTCCCCCTCAATGGTCCACGAGGGGGTTGCTGTTGTGGTAAGTTCCCTTGCGAGAGGGTGAGGGGGGAGGCTCACAGATAGAGCCTCCTAACTGCTCCTGTTCCATTTTTGCAAAAAGTGACTTTGAATCATATATAAACATCTGTTGGTTAAGATCTTAGATCCTCAAAAACATTTCCTGCACATGCCACCTTCTCCTTTCGAGGAGAGCTGCATGACAAAACAGCTTGCTAGGCCCAGGAAGCCCTGATCATCCCCTTGGCCTGGGTGTTGAAGTCTAAACCCCCCGCCGGAGGTCACAGCTCTCCTCAGCCCAGGCCCACGGTGCCCGTCCTCCCCACTGCTGGGGTACAACCTGTGCGGCTTCCTGCTGATCTCAGAAGTTCCTTGTCCATCTCTCTCAGCCTTTGTTCAGGCTGCACCTCACACTTCAGTCCTCCCCTTCCTCCTCTTCGCTACTCAGATCCTTTTCATCCTTTCCTGACCTGGTCAGTGCACTGTCTCTGGGCATCTGAAACCCCATGCTCCTGGCGGCTCACTTGGTGTCTGAGGTGTTTGGTTGGCATCCCTTGTCTTTCCAGTGAGGCGGGTTGGTCAGCGGCTCCCATGAGCAGGGCAGCCTCACTTGAGGTCCAGCAGTGCCCGAGCCGGCAGCGGGCTCGTTGGGGGAGCTGACTCCACCCTGGTCAGGTGCATCGATCGTGGATTGCTCGGTGCCCTGGCATTCTCCTTCACTTACACTGCTGCTCACAGGAGCCGCTGGGAACTCCACACACACCCTTCCCGTCCCCAGTTCCTAGACAAAAGAATTTGAAAAGGTGTCCATGTTAAAGACCTCAGCACAGCCTTTCACGCCCTGGGGGGAGAGCCTCCCCTGCCATCCTGGACCAGCCCCAACCGGAGGTAGGGCAGTGCCTTAGGACAGTCACAGGAAGGGAAGGCCTGCTCACCTGCAAGGGCTGCCCAGGCCTCACTTCAGCTCTGTCCACAGCCCCGAGGCAGCACCCTTCCTTTGCTGGAAGGCCCCCAGACTGACGGTGTCACCATTGGGGACAAAGGGGAGTGTGTGATCACACCCAGCACGGACCTGAAGCTTAACCCTGGGCTCAAAGGGAAGAACAAGCTCAACTACTTGAGGAACTACTGGCTTCTGATCGGTGAGTGGTTCCCTGCCATGTGCTGCCTCCTGGTGGGCAGAGCTGACTTTGCTAGTTACAGTCAACTGCTTTGTGCTTAGTTGGTGTCCTGGTCTTCCGGACCTTGAACTGTTTACCCCCAAGGGAAGTGAACAGGGCAGCTGTGTTGCCAAGTCAGTTCCCCAAAATTGTTTAACGACTATTCCAGAACTCAAGTACTAAGTACAGTCATGTCGGGGATACGGTCTGAAAGATGCTTCGTTGGGCGATTTTGTAAGTTTGCAAACATCCCAGAGTGTTGGTACACAAACCTAGAAGGTACAGCCTACTACACACCTAGGCTATACAGCACAGCATACTGCTCCTAGGCTACAAGCCTGCACAGCGTGTTACTGCCCAAAGCAGCACGAGATTAAATCAAGCCCAAGAGAAATGATGCCATCCAGAGACACAGCAAGCACAAGATGTATGAGGCTGCCACTGGCATAACGTGGAACACTGTTTGACAGCAAACTTTATAAGTAGAAAGAGGACACTTCAAAATAACAAAAAGGATAGTATAGTAAATACATAAACCAGTAACATAGATGTTTATTGTCAATATTTGTACTGTACATAATTGTCTGTGTTACACTTTTATATGACTTGGCAGTGCAGTAGGTTTCTTTACTCCAGCATCCCCGCAGACTCGTGAGTAATGGGTTGTGCTGTGACATCATGATGGCGACGTTGCTAGGCAATAGAAAATTTTCAGCTCTATTATAATTTTTTGGGGCCGTTTTCATATATGCAATCGGGCAACGATCAAAGCGTCATTAGGCAGCACATGACTGTAATGTAAACTTTGTGCAGCCATCTGATGCACTGAATGTCTGTAATGTGCCAGGCATTGGCCCTAAGCACTTTAGAATACATTTCCTATTTTTCACAGGTAGGCACCCTTGTTCCTTCCATTGATAGTTAAGGAAACTGGAGCGATTTCTATGGAAGAATTCACTTGGAGTTGGCGTGGGTGTGGGTGTGGGGGCGGCAGGGGGAGGAGAGGGTTGAAGACCAGCAGGGACTGAAGGAGATGAAGAGTTAGAGGCTGGATCCGGGTCAAGGAGCCACGGCAAAAATCCTGGGTGTGTGTGGGGAGTCCCTTCTCCTTCTCTTCCGCTGTCAGCCAGCCAGATAAGAATCGAGATGACACCCAGAGGCAGTGAGTGTGACAGATGAAGGCAGAGGTGAGAGAGCTGTGTCTCTGGCAAGTGTCCCAAGTAATTACAGCAGGACCGAGTCTTCTTGAATCTGATTTGCCCGTCCTGTGTCCCAGTTCTGCTGCCTCCCAGCCCCAGAGGTGGTGAGAGGCGGGGATGCAGCCGCAGGGGGTGGGGTGGGCAGGAGGGAACCGGGGGTGCCAGAGTGCACAGGGGCTCGTGAGGTTTCTCCTTGCCATTTTCCCTCTTGATCTCTGCTGACTGGTCCCTGGGCAGAGAGAGGGCAGAGCCGGGGTACTGGGTAGGGAATGTGGAGGGGCTTGGGGAGTGCAGGGCCTTGGAGGCTGGCCTGGGAGCAGTGTGACTGGGTGGTGCAGAGAGGAACCTGGGTGTGTTCAAGCCCTGACCATTCCCTTTGTAGCTGCCCAGGTCTTGTTCTTCTCATTCATCCTGACTCCTTGCAGCCATTTTTCTTTTAGTCATCATCTTTACCAAAAAATGGGCAAAGGAGATGGCAAAATAATTGTGTATTTTTTTTTTTAACAGAAGTAGTTTGGAAAACTTGTGTGAAGGGGCTCAGAGTAAAGGGAAAAATAGCTAATGAGCACAGGCCACTAAAGTGATAAGGCCACTCATTTTATGTACCAGTTAAGGGGACACAGACTGCCTACTAATGGTTAAGAAGTGAATTAAGGAAAGGTGTATGTAAGACTATTAAAAAAAAATACAGAAAAAAATCTTCATGGCTTTATCATTGCAAAATGATATCCCTTTAAAAAGGAAAATTTGCTCAAGTAAGAAAACTGAGAAACCCACAAAGTATAAAGAAGTAGTTAGGGAAGCATCCGCAGTTCTGAAGGCCCCTCTGAGGAACTCCCATGCGTCCCCATTTTAAATAGTCTTTGTGTAAACTGGGGCCAAGGTCAAAGGATACGCTCTTCATGTTGAACTATTATGTTCTTCTATTTGGTTTTTGTGGAAGAAACGAAGGATATCCCCACATCACATTCATCTTGAAAATAAAGTCCTCTTAGCTTGAGGGGCTTGGTCTGGGGGTTGCCCAGAGCAGCGGTGCTAACCTGGGGTGCTCTCCGCTTCACCTGGGGGCTTTGTCAATTAGGCACTCAAGCCCCTGAGACCCTGAATCAGTAGATCCAGGGCAGGGCCTCTGCTTTTGCTCTGGAGTCCGGACATAACTGCTGATGGTAGATAATCACTAAAACGCAGGTACCGTTTACATGAAAGTGTTTCCGGGTCTCGTGAGTACGTTTGGAGCATACTTGGTTCAGCATGTGGAGCATGTTATTACCGAGCTGAGGGAGAAGGCTGTGCGTAAGAACTACAGGAGGAAGACGAATGAATTGGGGCTAATCACTTCCATGGCAGTGGGTTGCGAGGTGCCCTACAGGAGGGGCAGGACTTGGAGCACTAAGAGTGGGCGTCAGGGGTGGGGGCGGGCAGGGCACTGCTGCCCATGGTGGCTCGTGGAAGGCACAGCTTGATTTCTCTTAGAGTGAAGGTCTTCTGTTAGCCTCAGAGGGACCGGGAGATACGTTCAGGTCCCTGGGCCCCACCAGCAAATCTGAGTCCGAGGTCTGTAGACCTCCCGTGAGGAAGTACGACTCCCCAGCAAAGCCTGTCTCCGAGGTCTTCGGCCAACAAGGAGCAACTAGGGGCGGATCAGACCAAAGTGAGGCTTCCCTTGAAGAGCAGTGTTGTGTTGTTGGTAGAGAACTGACCTAAAGCAAGGGACTTAGGATTTTTCTAGGTCAAAAAATGTCCGTAGCTTGGACTAGCTGCTGTTTGTATCTTAGCAATACATCATAAAATCTTGGATAGAATAGCAGAAAGATCACAGTGAGACCCGATCTCAGTGAGAGAACGAACAGGAAAGTGTCCGGGGCCAGGGTGCCAGCAGCCAGTAGAGG